AGCTTGCTCTGAGAGCAGGCAATGAGAAGGAGGAAGGAGAAACGGCAGACACTGTGGGTTGCTGTTCACTTAGAGTGGAACACATCAATCTACACCCAGAATTGGATGGTCAGGAATATGTGGTGGAATTTGACTTTCCTGGGAAGGACTCAATCAGATACTATAACAAAGTCCCAGTTGAGAAACGAGTAAGTTCACGTGGCCTGTGCTTTCTGGCTTGCTTTTTTACTTGTTCATTCAACAAATACTTTGAGTGCTTTTTATATGCTCCACATTTTGCTGGGCTTTAGCAAAAATGATCTCAAAGAGAGATACTGCTTGGTGCTGTGTATGTGCTGTGCGCCTCATTTTAGCCCCATCCTGCAATCTCTGCTACTTGCTAGGAATGTGTAGCCATCTCTGGAAGCAGTTTGTAACAGTCTGCAGAGAGTTAGCCCTTAGAGCAAACTCAGCATAAGATTGGACCCAACTACTTTAGTGATTTAAGCACATCAGCATCCTCTGGTCATGTTGCACACTTGCCACCTTGTGCCTTTGTTTAGCCTCAGACCAATTCCCAACTGAATGAAATGGTAATCTTTCAGTTTTTAGTGCTCTGCACCCATCACTGTAGAGTGTGCTGCAGTTCCATAGGCCCATGAGATAGGCATACAGGCACTTGACTACTCTAGCCTACTGGGTAACTGTACATATCAGCTAAGTCATATAAAACTGGGGTAAGCATAGTTTGACTATAAAGGAGTATTTCTGTTTTTAGGAAACAGACACTGAGATGTTTAGAGCTAAAGAGATACAATATGTAACCCACAAATGGCTCAGAACAGATACTTAGGTATTTATGTAAATTTACACATCCATAGCAAGAATTTCAGTATAGTATATATGGATGGTCCCTGTGCCTTTTCTCTGTTTTGCAAGTTTTTGTGAGTTTGAAGTTATTCTAAAGATTTTAAAAATAATAATTGGACTTAATTCTTTTAGGTTTTTAAGAACTTACAACTATTTATGGAGAACAAGCAGCCCGAGGATGATCTTTTTGATCGACTTAATGTGAGTAGACACAGGACACTGGTCTAGAGTCCCAGGCAGTCTCGAGCTTCTAAAGACAAAAGTTGCCAAAGGATGCTTGGGCTGTCCATTTAGGCTAGCTTGTCAGTGACATTCTACATACCCTTCCTCCATTGGGGCCAGGAACAGACACCTTCTGCTTCAGATTAGTACCAAAGCCTTAAGGCAGAGGGAGTTGAGGCCTACTGTCTCTTTCCCTCTTTCCTGCATCCTTTTATGAGATGCCTAGCTGCCTGTGCTACGGAGCTAAGATTCATTGATTTCTGTACTGGGAGAGATTTTTATAGGAAAGAACACACTTGTTGTTTTGAACTGCTCAAGATTGAAGTACTTTGTTGTAGAAAGGTATCATGCAATCATGTATTCTGGAATTATTTTCCCTCTTGGCTAACTCCCTCCTTGATGGACAGGGTCGTAACTTGTCAGGATGCTGACAGTACTGGCACTGTGACTCCTAGTACTTGCTGCCAGGGAGAGGGTAGTTTGACTTTTACCCAGTTCCAGTATCCTCTGTGTTGCTTTGTCTTCTGCAGACTG